CCCCCCCCCACGCACACCCCCCTCACTTTTTACGTACTTGCCCCTTTTTTTGTATTTTTTGCGTGCACAGATGGACGCGCTGTTGGGGGGGCTCAACGACGCGCTCCGCCGCGGGCCGGCGGGCGGCTACCCTATGACCGGCCTAACCCTCTGGGTGCTCGCGGTGAGGAAGTTCGGCGACCGCGCCACTACCCCGGGGGCGGTCCGCTTCGCGGCCGCGTCCGCCGTGGGCCGCGCTGCTCGAGAGGCTGGAGGCGGTCTCCTAGAGCCCATGATGGAGGCCGAGGTATCGGTGCCGGAGGCGCACGTCGGCGCCGTCCTGCAGGACCTGACCGCCAACAGGCGGGCGGAGGTGCGGGCGGTGGATGGGCCGGAGCTGGTGGCGGCGGCGGCGGGTAGAGGTGGCGGCGGTGGCGGGGGGCGGGGGATGGGGGTGCGGCACGAGGTTCGGGTGCGGGTGCCCTTGAGGGAGCTGCTGGGGTACGCGACGACTCTGCGGTCGCTGTCGGCCGGGGAAGCGAGCTTCACGATGGAGCTGGGGGGCTACGCGAGGATGGACGAGGACGCGCAGAGGGCCGCCCTTGAAGGAGGCTGGTGATTGGTGATTGGCGTGTTGAGGTTGGACGTTTTTTCTTGTTCAGTTGAACCGGTGGTGTGGTGATGGAAATGCTTCTGATATAGTGTATTCAAAGTGATGCGTCAGATGAGAGTTTGGCTGAAGAGAGAGAGGGGGGGGGGAAAGGTAAAGAGGAGCACGGGCTCAAGTTTTTTTTGCATAGGCCTTGCGTCGTTTGGGGCGGGAGAGATGTACTCACTCCTAGTATGTGTGCCGAGTGTGCCTCGCTGCTCCCGCGATGGTTGAGTTCCTTCCTTGTTTCGAGTCTAGACTGACCTGCGTACAGTTACAATACCCTGCAAATTTGTGTGAATCTCTTGCTTCTTTCGTCCTATGAGCAGGTTTGTACTTCGAACATCGTGGTGTCACGTTTTTTGGTCTGTGAGATCGAACTGCTTCGCTCTTAGTTGACCACAGGAATCGGGACTGACTGGCAGTCGCGTGTTGCACAACAACAACATGCATGCATTGATACATCTAGTTCCCCGAACTAACCTTGGAGTCAAACCTTTTTTTCGATGTTGAACGCCAGAACTTGCGCGTTGAAGATGCCGGAAGCACCACCACCATGTCTGGAAAATGTCATGTCCCATGACTATGGCATCGCTTACCAAGACTCCAATACATCCCGTTCGAACGTGTTTATATCTCGAACGGGTAGTCTTTCTGTGTTTGTATTTATTTTCCCAATAGATTAGACTACATGTGAGACTTGATGTTTCGAGACACAAAGGATACTCACACAATTGTAGAGCAATCTTGTTCCCAACACATGAACGCAAAAAGAAGCCGGTTCTTGTGGATTTGCTTTGCTCCACTACAGAAAACGAATTCACTCCAAAGACGGCACTGGGTCGTACAGAAGCTATGACAAACAGCAGCAGCGGTTGCAGCGGTTTTCATGCGCACGCGACACAGCAGGTCGGAGGGTCGGAGAGTCGGAGGTGAGAGGTGAACGACTAAACTGACCAGCCCGGCTGTGCGGGCTACTCGGGAGGGGCAGTTGAAGTGGACCCCGACCAACTTGAATACAGCTCGCGGAGCCCCCAATTGTCGGGCCATCCCTCCGACAGGTGAACATCACATCAATGTAGCAGGGTTAGCTGATAGAACCGTTACAGGAGAGATAGGAGAGAGATAGAGCGAGCGCGCGCGCGCCGGAGGGAATATGGTGCTAGTACACAGCGAGAGAACTAAGCCGTACAGCTGTCGACACAGCGGGGCGAGAGGTGCGCGAGGCAAGATGTCAATTCCGCTCCTCATGCAAGTGGTGGGCATCCTCCATCTCTCGGCGGTCTGCGCGAGAGCGGTGGCGGTGGCGGGCGCCGTCTTGTCGCCCACTGCTGGAGCAGCAGCAGCGGCGACGTCGACCGGGCGCGGCGGTACCGTGACCTCTGGCGCTGCGGCCGTGGTGTCCTCTTCTGTGGCGACGGCGGCCGGGAAGTCGTTCACGGACGTTAGGACCGAAGAACGTGCGCAAGAGGCCCGGAAGGCGTTCGTCAGCAGCAGCAGCGGCAGCAGCAGCACCGGCAGTAGCAACTCTCCTGCTTCAGGGAGAAGCAGAACGGCGACGCGGCCATTGTTGCGGACAACATCAATCACTCGTGAGGTAGGGCTCATTGCTCCTCTTGTTGTTTGGTCGTGTGTTTTTGTATTGCGTTATTTCGCGAGAAACCGTTTGGTAGTGATTATTGCATCTCATGGGGGACGTGTATGTGCAGCTATCAAACCTGGGTGCGCGTTCAAGAGCGCGAGAGATAAGCAGAGACAGAGCCAGGGGCCATGGTGTGGCCTCTGGAGCAGCCAGACAAAATGCGGGATGCGACACACAAGGTGCGCCATGAGCAGCTGATACGTTCGCACAGAAATCTGAGTGTGGTGGATGTCTGAAATTCCAAGTCAACTGTCTGCTCTCGAACTCCTGCGGCCAAAAGGCAGCAAGGACAAAGAGACACCTATTTACGTACCTATAGTCTACCTGTAGAGGACACAACAACCGCTTGCTGTCTGTGGGTTCATGCCTACAGTGGTGGTGACTTCAGTTGTTTGGTATGCTCTGCTTGCACGCAATGCATCAGAAAGAAGAAAGGCGTCATGACAAAACAGGGAAGGAATTCTGCGTGGGTACGCAAATGGATGCATTTGTCATGTGTCCAGACGCAGACGTAAATGCTTACGTACACTTTCTGTCACGTGCGTGCGCACACGCACAGACTGACGTCCCCATTAGAGAAAAATTTGAAACCGTCCCCTGCACCGCTGATGGATGCGGTCGTGGCCGCCTGACTGCGTCAACGTTATTTAGAGCTACACCTCTGGATCGAGGCAGCCGGTAGATATGTGAGGGTCAGGTTTCATTGCTGTCCCTCACAGCAGCAGCCCATAGTACTTATTCTACTGACCGGCTAACGTGCAACTGCCGGTCCGTCGTTATTAGTCTCACCGTTTGTGGTACAAACGGTGGTATTTGACAATTTTCCGTCTAGCCCCGGGGATCAATAGTTTGTGCTGGTGATCGTTTTTCATGAAGCATACATGGCGGTGCACTGTACACCGAAACTGGGACTGCTGCCTGGTGTTGCTGTTGATTGATTATTTAATTGCCGCGTTACTGCTGAAGTAATACAAGTTACAACAGCCGCATGCTCCCGAGTTCGTAATCTAAATTAAGAAGGCATCTCGTTTGTTCTGCCAGCGCACACCACGTGCTTGCTGGTGCTACCCTTCCATTCTTTCACGCTCGTTATTTTCTCGTTCTCGTAAACGTGCCCTTGTTTTAGGCACGCAAGGTTATTAATATGCACATACAGTCGAGCCCGCTTTAAGGACGCACATGGTTTTTCCTGAAAAAAACGTCCTTAAAGCGGGGTTGCGTCCTTAAAATTTAGGGGACGATAGCTCACCATCCCCGGGGCCAATGGAGGCATGCTATACCTCAAACTACGCGTATTTTGCTAAGGAAGGGGGTGGTACGAAAAGTCAGCATCGCCGAGACGACTGGCAACCGTTTGTTGACGTCGAACATATTTACAATACTTGAAATGAGATTCACAGCAGTCAGGGACGTGTTGAAAACAACTACTACAGTACACCAGTTTGTACTTGGCCAACTAATGTACTGCCTAACCGGCAGCCGAAGAAGGAGGAAAGTCCAAGATGACATGTATTTATGTGATTCTTGTGAAGCAAAAAAAAAACGAGCGTATTCCAGCGGCGCACCGAGGAACACCAGTGCATATCACTGTCCCGGCGGAGACCAAATTCCTGATGGCTTTTCCTTCCACATATCGCGAAGAGTTCCCTGAACCTCCCCCCGCGGCTTGGCTCTACGGCTCTGTTGAGTTTCATGAGTAAACGAATGAACGGTCTTCGAAAGAAGGTACTGCGTCTCGCGGTACTCGCCACCCCTTCCCTTCGCGTACAAATACAGATAGCGCCCGCAGCTAAGAATAATTATGTTACGAAAGGAGGCTCAACTTTGTGCGAAAAATAAGCAAAAAGGGCTAAGAAACATAGCTCAATCTCGGCCACAACGTAAGAAACGCTCCAATAAAAAACATGATGGTGCGATACCCCCATGGCATCAGAAATCTGCGGTGCTCCCAACCCCCTCCGAAGCTTGACAGAAGTGCATTTCCCCCCCCGCGCCCCCCCCCGATGTTTGCCATCGGGTTGGGTTTTCGTCGCTTGGCAACGACGCTGTAAAACAAGCCAATTCACTTCGTGAACTCGGCAACCAGGTTACCGTTTTTTTTTTTTACCTCCGTTTTTTTTTTTGGCGGTAACCATAATGGTGGTCGAGTAGATCATGTTGTGCGGGGTGGAGAACCCTCACTCCGCGCAAGGGGGATGATCGCACCACGTTGTGTTAAAATGGTCAAACACCCTCGAGGCAGTTACACAGTGATACAACTGTCAGGAAGTGAAGCACCAGAACACAAATTAAGTCATACGCAGCTGTCATCCGTACGCAAGGAAGTAAGCACAAGATGCCGAACACCGTTAGCAGGATGCACCCACCCTTCATGCGATTCGCCGAGTACCTCACGGCGCTTCGCGCTTGATGACGTGAGAGCCTGGTCCGGTGAGTACCCGGCGTGCTCCGTCCCGGCTTTATAGGGATGCGAGGTCAATGGTCTAACGACTACGGCATGCACGACTATGAGTACCCCCCCCCCCCCCCCCCCACGCGCCCCTGCTGTTCACAGTGAACTGTAGTACTGCCACACATCGCGGACAACCATATGCACTCCGCTGTTGTACGGGTTTGATGGCACTCTCCACCACCTCTCTTGAGGGCTTGATGATGTGGATTGTCCTCAGAGATCAAAAGACAGAAAAAAGAAAATACGAAGTTGTAGTCTAAGGAATAAGAGAATCGGGAGGATGCTACACTCCGAAGGAAGAAGAAATGCCATTTACGAAATGGACGACTTACGCCGGTACTTCGGCCCAAAAGAAGGGATTTGTGAGGCTCGAACAGATTTTGAAGTTTCGTAACTGCGGGCGCTATCTGTAGGATCGAACGTCCTCCAAGCGAGAGATAACCTCGCCCTGGTGAGGGACGAGGTTACGCACGACTGTTTTTTTGGCGGCATCAGATGGACCGCCGGTAGATGGGAGGAATCTATCCATACCAACACCCAGTTGCAGCTGCAGCAGCAGACCGCTCGCTACTTCTGCTGCCTGTGCATCGCCACTTCGGCACTCACTGTGGTGGTTCGTGCAAAGAGCGGCCCGCAGGCCCGCAAGACACACGCAAGGGGTGTACGCGGCAGAAAAATGGGGTTACCCTATTATCGCATTATCGTTTATTCGTCCGGGCCCCCTTGTGCTGAGCAAAACAAGTTTCCTCTACGCGGGGAGTTTCCGTAACGCGAGCGTCCTCAAAGCTGGGTCGACTGTCCATGTAGGATTTCGACTTTTCTCGGCTGGGACAGCGTTTTTTCTCGCACTTTCTTCCGCATGTCACTCAGAGGACCCATCGGTACATTACCCGATACGTGTGGGGCTCGCGAGACCCCGGTGGTGTGCGTCAGGGCCGCCTAGAGTCGCTGGGACTGGCTCTTTATTCAGGGGTTGGGAATCCGAACCATACAAGCCTCCCGTGACGGCATGAAAACTGAAAACATAACTTTGTGTTTGCCCCACGCCACACGCCACACGCCACGCGCCCACGCACCCACGCGCCCACACAGCTGCTGTGATTGTTGTGTATACAACCACTACACAGCAACTGGGCATGCGTACCCACAACGGGGACCAAGACTCTTGATGTTGCTCATGGGAACACACCACACGACACAGAAGTCCTCTCGCACAACTCTGCAGCGGTCATGTAAATTTTAATTCCGAAAGATCGAAAAATGCAAATATGTGGAAGTTGTTGTACATTACGGTAGTACTGCTGGAGCAGTGTACAGCTGTAACGTTCTTCGGGACGTTGAGCAGTAGTCTACGCAGCAAAATTGATTTAGCAAACATATGGGATCAAGTATTCAGTCCGTGCTTTGGGTTTAGGGTAAGGGTTAGGGATAGGGTCTGCGTGCCCCCTCCCTATTATTTTCTAGATAACCTTAAAATCCTGCGTAGGCGGTCCCAGTAGTCCTTTGTTGGTGCTGTGCGAAAAAATCCCACGGACCATGAGAAACACGATCACACCAGAAGAGAAAGTAATCAAACGCAGCGGATTACAGTAGAGCAGTAGGACCTGCAGAAAAGTCATGGCGGGAGAAACAAAATACCCCGCTCATGATGCAAATTCCAGGCAAATTATTAGTATGCAGGTTGCACGTAAAAGCCGGCACTACCGAATGTTGTGACGACCAACCATGCGACCGCAATGGCATTGATTGGCCATGTCCTCTTGCGTCGCCCCCCGGAGGCAAATCACCTAACTCCCGCAGCGGAACCTTGTACTACTAAATGGTACTTGTATTGATTTACTCTGCTTATCTAACGCGCTTGTTTTGACGCTTTTGCTCAACCAATTTGTACTACATGTAGCAGGTTTACTCTGGAGACAGGCGACGGAAAAGCAGAGTTTCTCGCGTGGCAACGGGAGCCTTTGTCGCGCCGCTGGGCCCCTCTCTCAGCCGATCTTGCTGCCACCGCCAACAGCAACGGCACCCACTCCCTCGCGGCGGGGGCGGCGCCGGTGGGGGCGGGAGCGTGCGGCGCAGCAGGTGTTCGTCTCGAATTGCTCCTGCCAAGCCCACTACGTTCAGCTGCGGGGCCGTCTCCGAAGCCGGCGGCGCGGATGCCTGCGTGGTGGCGCCGAGCCAAAAGAGACCGTGGAGCATGAGCGCGGCGGCGGCAGCAGTAGCAGCGGCGGAAGCAATGGCGTCTCTCGCTGGCCGAGTCTCTTCTCCTCTTCCCAGCCCTGGCAGTTATAGCGGCGCCGGCGATTTTTTCTCTCGCTCGCGGCCGTCATTAATAGGCCTGCGTGCACTGGCGACCGGCGCCGCCGGGGGTATCGAGCCCGATCGTAGTCGAGACCGCGACCGTTCCAACGGCAGCGGCGGCGACGACAGCGGCCGGAGCGCGGCCGCCGTCATTGTAAGTACCCCGGTGGCTGCCTTCCAGGCGCTGCTCTCTCTGGTGCGGTGGGTGCTGACCGCGGGCAGGTCGGGCATGAAGCGGCAGGAGCAGGCGGCGGCGACGGGGGCGGCGGCGATGGAGAGAGGGCGGCGGAGGGATGGCCTTCAGCTGTTCCAGTGGATGTGGCGACCGTTCGCCGGCCTGGAAGGAGGAAGTGTCGCCAGCAGAAACAGCGGCGGGCAGGCATCGAAGTACAGGAGGCCGCAAGCGACCGGGGTCCCGAAGCAGCGGGCGATGCTCCAGCCCCTGACGACCCAGCAGCTGCAGTCCCGGTACCCGCGGCCCCAGTCGACGGCGTATCCCCGGCCGCAGTCGACGGCGTACCCCCGACCAAAGGTCTCCCCCCCGTCGCTCCTTAACCTCGAGGCCGACGAACCCATGGAGGTCCTGCCGCCCCTGAAGGAGAGAATGGCCATGGAGGAGACCGGCGTAGAGCGAGCGGTCACGAAGGACCCGCTGTGGAGCAAGATCCTGGTCTGGGTGTTGGAGCGGGCGATCACGAACCGCGCCATGCTGGTGGAAGGGCTTGAGGTGAGCGTGGACGCGCGCAGCAACCGGGAGGCCATGAGCGGCCTCCTGCAGTCCGTGGGGATCACGTTCAACCACCTGGAGCTAGAGAACCTGCAGATCAGCGGCGGCGCGAGGATGAACATCACCAACCTCGACCTCAAGGTCATGACCCTGCTCTGGAAACGGTTCGGGTCCTTCAAGAAGCCGTTCGAGGTGAGCGGCCCCGCTGTTTTTCAGTCCAAAGCTGATGTAAGGCGTAGCAGGAAAATGGGAGAAGCGGGGCTTCATCTGTAGCGGCGATACAGTACAGCGCGATTTTCTCCTGTCGGTCTGCGGAACCTAACTCAACCGGGTTGCCTTTCTGAAGAAGCCAAAATTCTAGACTCACCATGCCATTTTTGTTCGTGTATCTGGATGCAGAGTGGCAACTGCGAATGCGCAGACGATGCGACCGATACAATAGGTGTGCGTACGAATCGGTCATCGGGTACGATTCTGGTCAGGGGTTGGGTGCTAGCTTTCGCTTCATCTTTTTGAGGGAAGGAACCACAAATGTTTTTCTGAGGCATAACCTCCCATGCAGCCGTTGCACGATCCGTGTTTTTTTTTTTAGAGTAGAGTCAACTGACAATGACTGTAAGGAAAGGTGTCCGTCCTTTCATTTTTTTCCGCGCTTACAGACTTCACTATTTTCAAGGGAAGCATACGTTGCAGTCCACGGGGTCCCCCGTCGGCGGAGCGGGAAGGGGGGGGGGGGGGGGG